GATCAGCATAGCGCTGGAGTCTTTGTGCCAGACAGGATCTCCGCAGGCAGCTGCATCAATCCTGCTTTGACTGAAACTGGTTTAAGTCACAAGTTTGTTCTCTCCATCCTTGGACATTTCATCTTGCCTCAGTAGACAAGAACTTCGATTTATGTCTTAAAAGCATGGAAATGGCCCAGCTTAGAAGAACACAATACCAAAATTAGAAAGGATTTGGATCTTTTCCATCATTGATGTTCAGGTTTGAGTGCCTTATGTCAGACACGTATGTGCTTTAATAGGAATAGCTGCAGCGTAGCTGTGTTCTGTAAGTGAACATTCCCACACAGGTGCTTCCTTGTTTCATGCACATTTTAAATCAGGTATCTTTTCCCCAGTAACAGTGACATTGTAAGCCACCAGCCCTTGAAAGGAAAACCCCAAATAGAAAGTGACGTTTTCATTGCCGTAAGGCACCGAAGCCGAATTCAGAGCATGGATCATGAGCTTTCGCTTCTTCGGGCCATGAAGAAAAACGGTCCCGTCTTCTGTCCACCCATGGACGGGTTTCAGGAGCCTCGTGATCTCTGGCATCTTCCACACCTCCCCGCGGAACCACTTCATCCTCTTCTCGTCCACTGAGAAGAGCTTTGTGTGCGCCTCCACCTTGCTCTTGTGCACAATCCTGTCCCACCCACTGCCATTGCCCAGGAAGAAGTGGGTGAAGATCCTCCTCTTCCTTCGAGGGACGTCTTTCATTTTGACCCGGTAGCTTCTTTTGAGAAATTCAATGGCTGACATGATGATCTCGTATTTCATTTCTTTGTTGTGCTCGCTGTCTTGCTCTTCAGGCCAGAAGAGCAGGGTTCGTAAGAACAAGGCACTCGGTCGACATCTGCTTTCCTCCTTTGGAAACTGTTGGCTGAGCTCCTGCAGCTCAGGAAGAGATGCCAGTCCGGGAGAGCGAGCCGAGAGGCAGCCTAGTGAAATCTGAGAGGCAATGTAATTGACAAGATCCATCTGATCCAGTCTGGCCTTCTGGGGATCATTAGGGTACATGGATATAATGTCTTGCAGCACCTTGACTGGGGCCTTATCTTTCTGCTCAGTCAGCAGGGAAAAAATGGTAGTAATATTTCCACCCCCAAGGCAGTAAATGTGCATGCGTTTCATGAAAGGGGTTAAATTGTCCAGGCTTGAGCCGCAGGTTTGTTTAGCTGACCAGATGGAATCTTCGCTGAAATACTGTCCGTACACTGAGGACTTATTGACCAGCCAGTTCTTGGGATTGTTTATCTTAAAATCTGTGCTGCTGGTTTCCTCCTCTTCTGTGTTTGTGTCCGTCTGAAAGTAACTCAGGTCCTCAGATATCCATTCCAGAGCTTCATACATGGTCTTCTGAACAGTTTTCAGATCGCTGTGGAAATTCTCCCAGGGCTTTCGTACTTCTTCAGGAATATAATCCGTGAGCAGATACCTCAGAAATTCTGAGCGGCCGATAACTTTGTTTGAAAAAGGTTTCAAGGAAGTAATGAGCTTTAACAAATGACATCCAACTTCCACTTCTGAGAAAAACCCTGAATTATTCATGATACTGTTATCTAGTTTTGCTGCTTTCTGACAGGCTCTGAAACACTCCATGGCTGTAAGTGCTGTTTCAATTGCATCTGCTGTCTTTTCAGGCGTTTTAGTCTGTTTGTCCAGTGACTTACATTTAGCCATGAACCACTTCCTGAACACCTGACCTTTTGTGTCCAGAATAAAGGAATTATTGGGCATTTCTTTAGCTGCAGTTTCTGCCCAACATCTTGCTTCTTCGAACTTTTCGTGGAAGTAATTTAGTCTTGCAAGCTGCTGAGCAAAAAAGGCGTCTTTCTTGAAACGTATATAGGCCGCTTTGAAAAGCTCAATAGCCCGCTCTGGGCTTTCTGTCTGCGTCACGTGCTCAATGAGAGGAGAGAAGAAACTGTCTGATTTGTCCCCCTGAATCACTCGGCAGCGTCTCATAAATAAATCCCGCACATACCTCACGAACTCTTCTCTCCCAAACCTGTGCTCGAAAAGCACGTCTTCTCGCAGGAGATCCATGGCGATGCTGCTCTGCTGCTGGCTGCCCGAGAGTTGTTGGAGGATTTCCTGCGCAACTAAGGGATGAATTATACGAATTGATTCAATGTGGGTCTTCTCGTCTCTCAGGTGTAGGAACACCAGCTTGGCCTGTTCGCTTAGTGATCTTTCAAAGGTGTTCTGGCGGAATCGATTCATATGGATGGTGATGGCCAACAAGGCTTCGCAATGGGACTGTGAGATGTAGGAGTTCTGTACATAGGAGTTGAGCAAGGCCACGTAGTGCATGAGGCGGGTGGCTGGAGATGAAAGGTCAATATCTTGTAAAATATGTTTCACAAAGTCTTGTACGTACTGGGTCTCAAATTCTTCGCTCATCAGCACGAAAGTCAAGATGAATTCTGGCTGGTACTGCTCTTCCAGCTTCTTCCTTTTCCCTGCAAACATTCTCTTCTCCTCCGGTGTCAGCTTGTGAGTCACGGAAACGTTCTGCAAAGGCGATTCCTTGCACATTTTTTCTGGGTTATGGGACCGCCTGCAGCTCAGCAGGATGAAGCAGAGAGCTCCTTGGTTGATCTTCTTGGTGTTCACGGCAACGTTGAGCTCGCTCCGCAGGTCGTCAATGTAGTCTTCGTCACAGTCTTCCACCAGCAGGAGCACAGGGAGACACCTCTGCACGTCCCTTTCCTCGTATTCCCGCAGTTTGACTGCGTGCTCGCTCACGGTGGCTGCAGAGAATGAAGGCTTTACCACTGCACATCGGAGGTCCTTTCTGTAGTTCCAGAGGATCTGTCTTGCCACTGTACTGCCCCCGCTGCCAGGATGATGGTATATATTTATAATGTTTACAGGCATCTGGTATGCGCTGCGTTTCAAACTATCATCAATAAATTTGGTGACCTCCCTGTATGCTTCCCTCTGAATAACTTCCCCAACGAATTTCTTTTCTGCCAGCCAAAAATTCAACCACGTCACCTTTCCCCCATGGTAAAAATGGCGTTCGATGTTGTCTTTCTCGAGGTCAACAAAGTAGGTGCTGGTCTCTTCACACTGCTCAATACTCAGGACCTCCAAGGACGACATCCTCTCTTCCTCGACCGTTTCTAGCAAGCAGAGACCCTTGCTGTAGACCGACAGGTGCTTGGTAGCCCGGGCTGTGATGGGCTGGATGCGCTGGATGGTTGCGTTCACGTGACTCATTTTCATCCCGACGACGCTTGCGCGGTTCACAGTCTCCGCGCTGCAGGACGCCTGAGCAAAGCCCGCCCACTTGCAATGGTTTTCTTCCGATTCCGAGATGCAAACAATGTCTTCGTGGCCCTGCATCTCGGCAAAGAACTCGTGGAACGTGTGCACGAGAGGCTGCTCGATGGGTGCCATGAGGAGGAAGATCACCAGAAAGGAGCCCTTGGGCAAAATCTGTTTGCAGATCACGGACACCGCCTCTTTCAGTAGCGTCTTCCTGGTTTTAATCCAGGCCAGCTCCTCACAGGGAACCTCCTTTCCACGATAATCACTACGGCCATTGCAGAATATCCAGCTGGTGTGTTCAAACAAGTGCAAGTGCTGAACGAAGTCGTTGATGCTCATGGTGCTCTGCATTTTGTAGTTCTGGAGGAAATGAAGGTTTACTGCATGATGGTCTTGGTATTTACTACAAAATCCAGATATTTTCGAGTCGGGGTCAAAATCGAACACACAGAAAATGTTCATGTTCAATAAGAAATCAATGTGGCTCAAATGCTCTGGTTCAAATTTATTAGTAACAAGAATGTACCACTTTTCCTTTTCTATATACTTTTTGCCACTGGTGATCAAAACAGTCAGCTTTCTGCCCAAGTCCTCACACAAGTCTGGCCAGTTCTGAAAATAAGAGGCTTCGGCTTCCTCCCTTCGGGCATCTCGGTCTTTCACACGGCTATAGAAGTCATTCAGGTCACTGACCGGTTCAGTCTTGGCACCTACTCGCCGATAGATTGTACTCTTCTCCTTTTGTACTTTATTGGCCTTTTCATTAAAATTAGGCAGGCAGACAGTGTAAACTTTGCCTTTCACGATGCTCGCGGTGGGCACAATGTCCACTTCAACGACGTAGAGCTTTTCTGTGCCGCTCATGTCGATGACTTCTACAAACTGTGGCGGGCGGATGCACTCCCTGGCAGACTCCGAGTCCGAGTCTGGGAAGCACTTTTCTATGTGATCCAGTGCGTCGGTATAGACGTCTCTCTCCCTCACAGGAACCCCGATTATCTCCCCGTGCACGTGGTCGTTGTCGTCTTTGCTGTCCACGACTCCGAAGTGGATGATGCCGTTCGATCGGACGTTCAGGCACCCGCAGGCGAACTTGAGGACCTCTTTGGCGAACTTGGCCTGCAGCCTCGGGCGGTCCAGGCCTGCGGCTGTGGTAAAGGCCTTATATTCGTGACAGGGCGTCATGAGGTCTATGACCCCCGATTCCGGCTGCAGGACGTTGTGTTTGGCGTAGGTGAAGTCCTGGCCAGGCTTGTTTAGGGGCCGCGGCTTGCAGTCCCTCCTCGCCGGCGCCCGGCT